GGACAGGAAGGAAGGATGAATGGGTGGACATTTGGAGGGAGGGAGGGAGGAAGGAAGGATGAATGGATGAGCACGGAAAGTTATTACAGTGAGGGGATGGCAGCCAACGTTGTGAAGCACATTGTAGCTACACTGTTGTGTGGGAAATTAACATGCTCAGTCAACTTCCACTCGAGCCACGATAAATGCCCCCCAGATAATAATAATGACACGTTTGTCGGGAGAAACAAAGGTCCCCGTCGGGACAAATGAGACGCATGTGGGGGCTTCCCCGGGGGCTTTCTATGCTGTCCTGCCCCCATCCATCACTGGGGACAAGCCTGGCCTCTGTGCCCAACTTTTAATATCTATGCCCACCTGTCCCCTCATGGTAGTCACCTTCCCTGAGCAAAGCCCGGGACCAGGCTCCCTGGGCTCAGAAGGGAGTGTGGCCACTCTATGACCCCCCATCCCACCCCCCAGGGAAGGCACGGCACCCAGCCAGCCCTGAAAAGGCGGGGAAAGGAAAGGAGGTGGGCTTCCTGGGGAAGTGGCCCTCCAGCAGGAGCTGGGCGGAAATCCTGGCCGCGTCATCAGGAGCGCCTTTTCTTCTGTCCCCAGCCGTACCACCCTGCTGGTGGAGCTCTGCAGTGAGGACAGCCAGGGCCCCAGCTACCTGCCCGGCCAGCACCTCGGCGTGTGCCCGAGCAACCAGCCGGCCCTGGTGCGAGGCATCTTGGAGCGCCTGGTGGACGGGCCTGGCCCCCAGCAGCCTGTGAGCCTGGAGACCCTCAGTGAGAATGGTGAGCCTCGTGGGGGCTTCCTCCTGAGGCAGGTCCTGCAGCCCCACCACTCCCACCCAGCCCATGCCGCTGAGGGGCTGAGGCTGGGCCTGTGCTGTGGACACCCACCCTGTCCTTCCTGCTGGGGGAGGCCAGCCTGCCAACCGTCCCTGCCCCACTCTGGCTGCGTCAAAGGGCTGTGAAGTGGGGCCTTCTGCCCAGAAACCCAAGCTTGGGTTGTTTATTTTGGTACTCACTCGGCCAGGTTGGTGCTGACAAACACGTAAAGGTAACCAGTCTTGTAAAGGTAACCAGTCACAGTTACGTACTAGACAGCCCCGGTCGAGCAATGACAGTGTCTCCTCCGTGTCTGCCTTCAGTGAGCTCGCCACTCGGCGTGGGCGACAGATCCTTAATAAAACCAAACACCCACTGCATGGAGTCTGTGCCGCCTCATCGTGACCCTATAGGACAAGATAGACCTCCCCCTACCCACCATGAGTTCCCAAGACTAATTTACAGGAGTCAAAAGCCTCCTCTTTCTCCCTTAGAGCAGCTGCTGGTTTCAAACTGGCAACCATACGGTTAGCAGCCCAACGTGTAACCACTACACCACCAGGGCTCCAATAACCACAACAACCATGGTTGTCTGTTATACTGGGTGGCTCCTCTAGGCCAGTGTTGTCCATGCACGATATCAACAGGCTCATCGGGGATAGAGTAGAGACCTGTGGGCTCCCAGTGTGGGGTGAGGCTTGAAGGCACAGGGCTATGCATCACTTACTCACTCATGCAAATCCAGTGACCTGGGTTCTGGGATCAGATCCATTTCACAGGAAAGGAACCCAAGGCCTGAGGCTTCAGGCACCCACCTGGGAGCTGAGAGCCCAATCTTGAGCCTCGCTCTGTTGACTCCTGAGTTCATGCTGTGACTGCCACGCATGCTGCCTTGTGCGGGCTCCCCAGACTTGTCACTTCACTTCAGGGGGTGGGGAACAACAGTCTTTGGGATGTTTAGTCATTGTGAGCCTGTGGTGTGGGTGTCCTGATAAAGACCCAGTTTAGGCCAGAGAGGGACTGGACTCTGGACCGTGGTTGGTTCAGCAGGATCATGACAGCTTGATGCTCATTGCAGGGCTGTTGACCAGCTGTCTGGGCACCACCTTTCTCTGTTTCACATCCCAAGAGCCAGAACCTCAGGCTTCTCTCTCCGGAGGCTGGAGAATGGAGTGTCTCGGGCTTCGGAGGCCATTGATCCATCCTGACTCCTCCCTTCCCTCTCCAGGCAGCTACTGGGTCAGGGACAAAAGGCTGCCGCCCTGCTCACTCAGCCAGGCCCTCACCTACTTCCTGGACATCACCACACCCCCATCTCCCCTGATGCTCCGGAAGCTGGCCCAGCTGGCCTCAGAGGAGAATGAACGACATGAGCTGGAGGCCCTGTGCCAGGTGACATTCGTATCTGGTGGGTGGGGAAAAGGGTGGGGGCAGAGCTGGGCTGTAACCTCCCAAGATCATCCAGCCCAGCCCCTCAAAGTGAGACTGGTAGGGAGCCAGGTGCCACCTCCCCCACCATCTCAGGCAGACAGTCGTGTGGCAGCGTGAACTGATTGTTCTGTGTATCTGCCAGTTGTAGCCACACTTCCTGAGAAACCTGCTAGGAAAGGGTAGCCATTACGTCTCTGTCTGTCTGTCTGTCTTCCCAAAACCAGGAAGAGGATATGTTGGAGGAGGCATGGTGCGGAGGAATGGATCAGTTCATGGGACCCCCATTGATCCTGAGGGGTGGTCGAGCTAATGAATGAAGGGATGAATGAGCTCGCTTGCACCTTTCTGGGTCCAAGTCTCCACAAAAGGCACCGGGCAACATTATTTTCCTCATCATTGTTGTGAATTAACTCGAGTCCAAACACAACACTGTCACTCAACACAAAACCCCAGCTCTAAGCCCACTGCCACTGCCTCCCAGGGTGGAACTGCCCCTGTGGGTTTTCAAGACTGTCACTCTTGACAGGAGTGGAAAGGCTCATGTTTTGCCCACAGAGCGGCTGGTGGCTTTGAACTACTGCCCTTGGCAATCAGCAGCCCAACGTGTGGCCCCTGCACCGGGGAGTCTCCTTCAGTCAGGTTCTCATTTCATGGAGTTGTAGAGACTCAGCCTTTGCCCACACGAATTAGTGCTGGCGAGGTTCTAAGCACAAGTGTGAGATGCCACCTCTTCTTTTGACCACGTTCCTGAGGACAAACCCCACCCCCCACCCCCCCACCCCACCCTCACTCCCGCCTCCAGCTTTCTGAAATGTGACCTTGCGTCAAGTGTCTCAGCACCCTGGACAGCGCCTGGCACTCGGCCGGGTTTGCTGGGAGTGTGAAAGACTGCAGGGAGACTGGTGGCAACCACCTCCTTCAGTGAGGGGCAGGCCCTTGGATCCCTAACACGGCCCTTGGCTTTCAGCCCGCAGATTACAACAAGTGGAAGTTCACTCACAGACCCACGCTGCTGGAAATTCTTGAGGAGTTCCCGTCTGTGCAGCTGTCCGCCAGCTTCCTGCTCTCCCAGCTCCCCGTGCTGAAACCCCGGTTCTACTCCATCAGCTCCTCCCAGGACCATACCCCCACGGAGGTCCACCTCACCGTGGCCGTGGTCACATATCGTACCCAGGGTGAGTGCTGGGCCCCAGGCTCAGGAACAGCCCCACCACGTTCACTTCACAACCCCATTGTCCCTGGGCCTCTGGGAGTGGCCTGTTAGCCATAACCGATGGTGTGCCGGAGGGAAGCCTGGGACCAGGCACTGAGCTGCGTCCTTCGCGGGCATGTGACAGCAGAGGGACAGGCTGGGTTGCGGACATTTCTCAGGGGAGACTGCAGAGGCCCAGAGAGGTTCTGCCTCTTGCTCAGGGTCACAGTTTAGTCAGTAGAGAGCTGAGATGGCCAGCCTGGAAGTCCCACTCCCATGTCCAAGTTCTCAAGCACCTTATTCGGTCCAGCCTGTTACTGGGACAAATTAACAAGGTCGGATGTAGACCGTGCCTAATTAATACGGAGTAGGAGCTGGACACATCATGGACTTTCTGAGAGCCCAGCCAGCGGGTGGGTGGTGGGTCTGCATTGATTGTTCATCTGCCCACGAATTCATTCAGCCATGATTTATGCCACACTACTGTTTGGCACCGCGATGGGTGTGGAAACACAGCAGACTCAGCCCCTGCCCTCAGGGAGCTTCCAGTGTAGAGGGGCCAGTAAAGAGGCCCCCAAACCCACTGCCATGGAGTCGATGCCGACTCAGAGCGACCCTGTAGGACAGGGTAGGACTGCCCCTGTGGGTTTCCAAGATGGCCACTCTTTCTGGGAGTAGAAAGCCTCATCTTTCTCCCATGGTTCAGCCGGTGGTTTCGAACCGTGACCTTGTGGTTAGCAGCCCAACACGTAACCACTTCACCACCAGAAATAACTAGGCATTTGTCACTAGGTAGTTGCAAAGAAGGGATCCACAGGGGGGACCCTGAGGCCAGAGAATGGGGGTGACAGTCACAGACTGAGAGGTCCAAACCCTGGTCTGATGACTAGCTCCTCCACTGCCATGCCCACCGGTGTTGGCGTCGCCTGGCTTGGCGAGGCTGGGGGCTGACCCCCCACCTCGGCGGCGCTTTGCGCTCTGGGAACACTGGGTGTCTGAGGGCCAGGAGCAGCCACGTGGCTCAGTCTCGGTGGCCAGGCCAGAGCACAGAGGCAGGCGGGTCCCCCAAGCACCGAATTCAGCCCAGAAAAAAACTAAAGCACAGTCCAAGTGGCTGGGACTTCTTTAAAGGGAGACGGAAGGTGTCACCAAGAGAAAGCTGGGCCGGCCACCATTCCTGGAGGGGCCACTGGGGAGAGAAAGAAAGGGTGCGTCCGGAGCAGACCAGATGGTCAGAGGTCACCTGGGGCTCCTACCAGCGAGGGTTACCCTGGACAGCACTCGGGATTCAGGACTGTGGTCTAGCCCGAGGGGTCACTTCCTGCTGCTTGGCCAAGGCTGGCCTGGAGGGACGTGAGGGGGGGCGGTCTCTGGAGGAAGGAGGAGTGGTGTAGGGGTCAGGGCACCTGAACTCTGGTGTGGCTGCTGAGCAACTCCAGACGTCACTGCCTCTCTGAGACTCAGTGTCTGTGTCAGCAAGAGGGGTGACCTGCAGAGACAGAGTTCCTTGCTTCCTGCTCCCCAGCTCGGGAGCCCCCCCGCAGGAGCAGAGCAGTCTGAGGAGGCGTGTCAGTGTGGGAGGGGCCGTGGGAGGGACTGAGGGTCAGGCGTGTGTCTGTTCTTGCAGACGGTCAGGGTCCCCTGCACCACGGCGTGTGCAGCACTTGGCTCAGCAGCCTGAACCCTCACGACCCAGTGCCCTGTTTTGTGCGCAGGTAAGTCCCCCACTTTGCCCCCGTGGGGCCGTTGGCCCCTAAGAGTCCTGGGGGGACAGCGAGGGATCCGAGGTGGTGCTGAGATCACACTGGGTGCCTCGTCTGCCTCTTGGCGGTGGCGTGGGGCTGTGTGTCCCGGGCGGGATTAGGGTTGGGGACAGGGGCGTGGGCCCAGGCTCAGTGGAGTGGCCACATCTCCAGGAGGGGCTGCTAGTATGCTTCCGCCAGCAGGGACAAAGAAGAAATCGAAACCCAGCTCCTCATCCTCCCCACGCCCCTCAACACCCACACCCCCAGGCCACACCCCCAGCTGTCCCGGGGCGTCTGCAAACCCGGCCTCTCTCCCTCCACCCCTTCAGTGCCACCAACTTCCAGCTCCCGGAAGACCCCACCCAGCCCTGCATCCTCATCGGGCCCGGGACGGGCATCGCCCCGTTCCGCAGTTTCTGGCAGCAGCGCCTCCACGATGTGGAGCACAAAGGTAGAGCTCCCCCGCCCCACCCCACCCCGCCCCAGAGTGGGAGGGGACACGGGGCGGCCAGGGCCCAAGAACACACGTGGCACCACCTCACCGGCGGTGACAGCCCCTCTTGCAGGTGAAGCCCTGCCAGGCTCGCCCCAGCCCTCGCTGCCTCCCTGGTCTAGGGAAATGGCCTGGCCTTGCTCTGAGCGGCTGAGCTGGAGTACTGCCTCGTGCGACTATGGGCGCGCGATCTCCACGCTCAGGAACTCAGTTTCCCCCTCTGTGGAATTGGGGGTGGGGGGTGGTCACTAGATAAGCCTGTCGCCTTGCGCCGGATGGCAGCCTCGTGGGGACTGCATAGCACTTCCCCCCAGGGGCAGGCTGACTGCCCGGGCTCTGGCTCTGAGGCACCTCCGTGAGTGTGAATCGCCAACTCTTGGGTTAGCAGTCGAGCGCCAACCTTGGTCACTATTTAGGGACCCTCACTGCTAGATACTGAAAACCAAACCGCTGTCTTGGGGTTGATTCGGATCACAGGGAGCCTATATCCTGGGGGTTTCTGAGGCTGTCGACCTATTTATTTAAATATGAATAATTTTTAAAAATTTAAGATCATTTTATTGGAAGCTCTTACAGCTCTTAAACAATCCATCTGTCAATTGTATCAAGCATATTGGTACATAGGTCGCCATCCTTGTTTTCTAAACATTTACTTTCTATTTGAGCCCTTGGTGACAGCTCTTTTTCCCTCCGTCCCCCCCTTCCATCCTCATGACCCCTCGATAAATTATGTTATTATTATTTTCATGCCTTACACTGGCCCCTGTCTCCCTTGTCAGGCTGTCGGTCTTGATGGGAGCAGAGAGCCTCTCCTCTCTCCCTCTAGGTATCTGGTGGGATTGAACACTCGCCCAGCCCCGCCACTCTCGACCTGGCAGTTAGCACTCCAAGACTTGCCCTACAGCATCACCAAAACGTGCACGTGCACGTGTGCACTGAGAATGAGAATTGGGCAGTCAACCCTTGTCCTGGGCTCCCCTGGTGGCCATTATGGTAACTGCAGCCTTCTGGTCTTGCAGGACTCCCGGGAGGTCGCATGACCCTGGTGTTCGGGTGCCACCACCCAAGCAAGGACCACCTGTATCAGGAGGAGATGCTGGAAATGGCCCGGAAGGGGGTGCTGCATGCGGTGCACACAGCCTATTCTCGCCTGCCAGACCGGCCCAAGGTATGTGCTCAGTGGGTGTCGGCCCACTGTGTCCCGGCTCCGCCCACCTCTCTGAACCGCCTAACCTGGGGTGATTACAGAGACACGGGTGTGCTGCTGTGAGCGGTTGTAGGTTTGCTTTTGTAAGAGCAGGCCAAAAAGGTTGAAGGTCACACAGAGAGAGCCCCAATGTCCATCCTCTAGCCCCAAGTCCCCATAAGCTCTCCTGGGATACAGTACTGCCCAGGTGGAGGAGGGCCAGGATGCCAAGCGTGGAGGGTGGCCCTGTTCTCACCCCGCCGTGGCCGAGCACCTGCCTTGGGGACGTGTTGTCCTGCCAGCCTACAGAGCCTCATGAATATGTCACACCGTCTGGCCAGCCTGTGCTGGCACAGCCCTTCAGGGAATGGGAGCCTGACCCCCTACCTTCTGTGGAGTGGCGAGCCCTGGGCTTGGTGCCCCCACCCTGGATCACAGCCGGGGGAGATGGGTAGTTGGCATTGGGGGGG